AGTGTGTGTGTGTGTGTGTGTGTGTGTGTGTGTGAGAGAGAGAGAGAGAGAGAGAGAGAGAGTGAGTTTTTTCATTTTCAACTCTTACCCATGCTTACTTTGATGGGATGCTGGTTGCTAAGGGCCAGACACACAGATCATGATTCTGGAAATCAGACCATGACTTGCCTTTTGTAGTTTCAGAAATTACTATGAAGACATACTGATGATTTCATATTCAGTAATTTATCCCTTAAGTCCTAAAAGGTTATGGAACAAATATACAATAAAGTCTTCCTGATCTTAAGTCCAAGTTAGAGTGCATGAAGTTTTTAAGAAAATAAACTTAATCTATTTAAATGCCAGTGGTGTTCATACAAATATACTATGTTTGCCATTTATGAAAGACAGGTGTGTTCATAGACTCGTGTGTAAGAAAGAGCTTTCTATACAAGAGCAATTGGATATTGAGAAAACAGCCCAGCCCAGATCAAGTCTGTAAGTCTGATATTAGCCCATATGTCCAATACCAATCTATAAAGTCCTCTTCCGACTCAATACAGGAAGATCACTTTCCAGTGGGTGGAAAGTCTTGTGGATCCAGTGGTGGTGTAGGCATGTTAGGAAGGGGTCGCCACATGGCTCTTACAGCTCCGGGGCTCTGGCTGCCATCAACACAGCTCCATGTGTCTTGTCAGTAGAGAGTATTTGGGGAGTGAGCATGTAACTCGCTTCCAGGGAGCTATTTATCTCCTTAGCACCTCCACATGAGGTCATCAAGCTGTGACTTGATTGACAGGCTAGACTCCACCCCTTCACTCATAAGTCTCAAGTTGACAACAGATTATGTAACTTGGAACCCAGAGTTGCAGCCACTGTATCAAGGCAGCTCATTAGGAGGCTACCTCTTGTCTACTGACCCTTTACTGTATGAAACATAAATCTCCCAGGGACTAGTTCCTCCTGATAACATGTCCAAGTGAAAGAGAGAAAGTCTTTCCAGCCTCACTTCTCAGGAGCTTTCTGGCTAGGCTTCTTGCCAGACAGGTTTGTTCATTCTTTTGGAAGACTGGTATATCCAGTCTGCGTTGTCAGCACTGTGTTTCAAAGGCATCGAGTGTTTTGCAGTCTTCCTTAATTCATTGTCTGGCTTTTAAATGCAGATGAGACCATGGGAATTTCATGGCACGGGTCAGGTGCGCACGCATTTCAAAGTGACCGTCTCCGCATTTCAGCACTGAGAGTATTTTGCAGAATGTGATATGCTACTTGCTTTCTGGATGACTGTTTCCATGGGTGTTCATTGTGGATTCAAGTAAAGTGAAGTCCATGACAACTTGAACCTTTTCTCTATTATTATTTTTTTAATAAATCATTTTATTCGGGACACTTATAGCTCTTATTTCAAGCCATAAATCAATTGTAGCAAGCACATTTGTATGCATGCTGCCATCATCATTTTCAAAACATTTTCTTTCTACTTGAGCCGTTGGTATCAGCTCCTCTTTCTCTCCTCCCTCCCCCACCCTCCCACCCTCGTCACCCCTTGATAACTTTTAGATTATTATTATTTTCATATCTTATACTGACTGCTGTCTCCCTTTACCCACGTTTCTTTTGTTCGTCCCCCTCAGGCTGGGAGGTGGGGGTGTTATACGTTGATTATTGTGATCAGTTCCCTCTTTCTCCCCCTTTTCCCCCAACTCCTCCCTACTCTCATGGTATCGCTACTCCCATTAATGTTCCCGAGGAGCTTGTCTGTCCTAGATTCCGTGTGTTGAGAGCTCTTATCTGTACCTGTGTACATGCTCCAGTCTAGCTGGATTTGTAAGGTAGAACTGGGGTCATGATAGTGGGAGGAAGGAAACATTAAAGAACTAGAGGAATGTTGTATGTTTCACTGGTGCTATACTGCACCCTGGCCGACTCGTCCCTTCCTTGTGACCCTTCTGTGAAGGGATGTGCTGCTGATTAGTCTAGTTGGGAAGATTTGGTTTTCTTGCATTGAGTTGTGATGCATACTGAAGGCAGTAGTTTTGGCTCTTCATTGGCAAGAAACTCTGGTGGCATAGTG